CAGGAATAAAATATTTCGGTTTTCAAGTTTCTGTGACACAGTAGCGAGGGTTCCAGAAATTCCTACTTATCGACTGTCGTTCAGTGCTGTGATTATAATCAAGGAATTTAAAACAGCGACCGTAATTCTCAGACATATTTCCAACGAGGTAACAGATTTCTAGAACAGAGCAGACGTGCTCCGTTCAGGCCTTGCATATGAAGATTCTTCCTAACAGCCTGAGGTACGGAACAAGCGTCTAGAACAGCGGTTCACAAACTTTATTTGCCCGCGGCCCATGTGGCTTTTATACTGAACGTCGCAGCGCTTTTGACAGTTTTGAAGGTCTTTCAAATTACTTACAAATAGAAGGAACAGCAAATGTGACTGGCAGTAGCTACCCCCTTCTTCAACTCGTCAAATTTTTACAATGACATAATGAATTAATGTGGGTGAGATGGTGGCCAACCGACCCATGCAACACGACCATTTTATAAACTTTCTGCAACCACATTCTCTTCAATTTGATAACTAAGTCAAAGCACGTATATTTTATTACAACTCAGATCTAAACGTTCGTGACGATGGCGAGCTATTTAAATAAAAAGTTCTTTCGATATTTTCCATCGTCTAAAATAATAAAATCACAATAAAATTGAAACGACGTTTCGGAGATGGGGCTCTATATCCGTCTTCAGGTACCTACTCTGTTGGGCCCAATAGATAGAGCTAATCCCTATTCCACTAAATCTTACCTGTATGCAAACAAAAGTTCTCATTATATTAAAGGTGTTATATCTTTCATAAAACTGTTTATCGGGCTCTAAAATTAAACAGACAACGATTGTCCGTTGCACTTGCAAATTATGATCGAGGGCAGTAACGTATTTTTATTTTCTCTCGGATCTCTACAATCTGAAAATACTTTCCAATTTAACTTATAACAATTTTTTCAAGAAAATAAAGTAATTTAAAATCCCTCTTTATGACAAATTGTAATTTTAAATATAATATTTTCCAAGTCACACTTTACATAAACATGCAAAGGCCAGGAGCAAGAAAAGACTAAATTGGTATCCAGATACTGAAGTGAAAAAAGTTGACTTTTGTTATTTCTAACAACACAGGTAGATAAACAAAATAAGTTAAGTTGCTTTGTGTCACTGGGTTTCAAAGAAGTATAAAAAGGAGACGCAGCGGAAAATTCACAAAGGAAGTCTCTTGCACTGACAAAATAAACGGTTTAGACATTTCTTTAAAAATAAACGCTGGTTTATAATCGTCCATTTCCCGCGGCAAATTATTTGGTAATGTATAACTCCGTATGAGTTGCTTCGCTGCATCAATTATCAGGGCGATAAAGAACGCCAGAAACGTCGGTAACTTCTATCACACTAGACCGTGCTACAAACCAGAAGACAACCATTTTCTTTTGAGGTTATATTTTCAAACCAGTAAAACTATTCATGACCAGGTACTGTCATGATGTGACGGTTATTAATTATTATATTATGAACAGGCCTTATCCATTTTATTTATTTCTTTGATTAATGGTTAAAATATTTTTATTTTAACCTATTTACCTAACGTCTTCTGTCAGAATAAGAGGTCTGCGGGGATCCCGCCTAAATCTAATTATGTTCCGTAACGAGACGAACAACAAAGCCGTGGGAATTAGGGCGCCGTCAACGAGCGTCGTAGAGGCAGCAGATGTGAAGTTACACAATTTGTCGTACAAATACGAAATGTCTATTACGTAACGTAATTAGTTTATCTAGTTCATACGCAAATTCAATTGCCTCCAAACTCCATACCAAAATAACATGTTTAAATTAAACAATAGTAAACTAAACAAATATTGTAACACACATTAGGGATGTACAGCTATATAAGTTACTCTAATGGCCAGATTTCTGCTTGATAATATAATAGTTTCCCATTCCGTCAAAGCATTCAAATTCGTCTTTAAAACCACGCGAGTCCACAGAGCTGACTTTAGAGAGAAACTTAGAAATGTATTTTCCTCCAAGAATAAATTGGCAAGCATGAAATTTTTAATGCAGTTACTGCATCCAGAGTTATAAATCAATTCTTTTACTCTTGTTTTTATAATTACAGACAAAATATTGAAGGTAAGTTGCATGAATCACGCAGTTATGTATCTTTTCTCACTGCCGGAGTGACCTATTTAAACGGCTCTGAGTTTCAGTGGTTTCTTTATCTTCAAGACTAAAATAAAAACTTACTATAAAATAACATGAGTCCAGGTTTCGGGTCGTTTCACTTGGAAACAAAAGGTAGATAAGGCTGCTCACGCACAATAAAGGCTTGGACTGGTGTGAATTTTCGAAAAACAATACATTTTCACCCGGTGATTGCCACTGAACAGCTCACAAAATAGGACTCATGTGGTTTTGAAAATGGCCTTTTCATTTGTCGCCTTCTACGGGACTCGAAAATTGAGTACTTTAACAGTTCGAATGTTACTTAACGCTATGAAATAAACACTGAAATATAACTGTAAATGTTGTAGAGGAGATAAAGAAATGTCAGAGTTCAAGTTACCTTGCTAGATTCAGGAGTCCGTAAGAGAAGTGCTACTAACTTCTTCTATTGAGTTAGACAACGGAGACAGTAAAAGAGTCAACATTTACAGTTGATTCTTCTTTTTGTTTGTCTTTTAAAGCAGAGCTCTAATAAATATTATTGTATCTAACCGAAGAACTAAAGATTACAGAGTACTAGAAACTACTTTATTTATACTTTCTTTTGTACTTTCCTTCCTGTGGATTCAAACTAAGAAGGTTTCAATACACTGGATAAGCATATATAATTTACAAACTACCTTGAGGTACAGTCACGTTAAAACAAAAATATTCAAAGACAAACATTGATGCGTTATTCCGTTACTGAATTCTATTCCATCCTCAGTTAGTTAAATTCAGTCAATAACTTCGTCAATATTTTAAAAAGACATTTTAATTATCGTTAAATAAACTCGTCAATTAATTCCTCTGTCCAAGCGTTTCTTACATTTTTATTTCTCCCCGTGAATGCTTCACATCCGACCAACCTAATCCTCCTTGAGTTGATCAGCCTAAGAACATTTGGTGAAGAACACAAAAAATGGAATCTCCTCAATATGAAAATCATTTCGCTTCCTGTCTCTTAGTTTGAAACATTTTCTGTCCTGTTAGCTGGAGTGCATTATCGCGTAAAGTCCTCCACAATTCGCGAGCCTGACAGCAAGTTGCATTCTGGGTAGAGTTTCATGATGAAGTGAGAAATCAACAGGTGGTCTGGGTCTCAACAGGTGTTGATGGTGAGTTGATGTCGTGCCCCTTATCACGGTTAATTGGACGATTCAGAAGCAGCACGTGTGAATAAAATATAATCCGAAGCGGAAACAGATGCATTACAGGCATCAACACCGGTACATACTTGGACATATATTGGATATGATAGCTTCTTCGTCGTCCATGCGATATTAAAATTAGTGATTATGACGACAAGTCTGCGATATTTCTGTTGACGGTAATTACACGTGTTATAAATGCAGTAAAAATTGATCTATAATGGAATCTCCAGTTATCATTTGTACTTTTTGTGTAATACAGTGAATACAAATACAAAATGTTTTAGTGTATAATTCATATGCTGATAAACCAAACAAATTAGATATTTACGCTACTTAAGTATAATACACCAAGTAAAATTACTACGGAGATTTAGCTCCCTTCTTTCATTCTTTTCTAGTATATTAGTAAAACACACAGTCTTTACTACGCGTACGCTTTCTACAATTCTCACAAATTCAAGGAAATGCAGAGTTGAACAAAATTACACAAACAGTAAACAACAACTATAAGAACTCACATTTTTTCCTTTCCAATTCCGCATTAGTTTCCGTTTATTGAACATGTTTCGTATTACTTTATATCCCTTATTCTGTCTGTACTTTAAATATCATAAGGTAAATTGTTCTTAACTTATTTAAAAGTGTCGTTTAAACTGCAAATATTATTCTGCT